TCTCTCTCTCTCTCTCTCTCTCCCTCTCTCTCTCTCATTTTATTTGCCAATAAGAGTTTGATTATATGAAAAATCTATGTAATTAAAGTCTAGAAGGTCTAAAAGGTTATTATTGTACATAATTTGATTGTCATCATTACAATACGTTACCATATTTAGCATAACAAATAAAACACACATAAGTTTGTCAAGTCTGTCAATCATTGCATTAATTTGTATTAAACGTGTGTTTGATTTTTTTGTGATTTAAATTTTCAAACCATATTAATTTCAAACTAATTTTAATTATATCATGTGATATCTGTTTGTTTAGTTTGACAGCTATTTAAATAAATTTTATATACATTTTGGTGTATTTGTCACAAATGTATTATTTTTAAAAGCGTCTAAATATCGATATACTGTATTATTTTTAAATTACATGAAATAGTTTAGTTTGCTTCATATTTTAAACATGTTTCATCATGTTGTTATCATAATTGTTTAAATAATTTAAACGTGATAGAATCGTGATTACAAATTATTATAATTAAGATAGAATTTTAATTGTGTATTTTTATTAATCTGTAACCTTTTATCAAATGTTTATTATTTATCAATTATATTACAATTTATGTTACATCAAATCAAATTATTTATGATCTTGTTCATTATCTATTTGTTCAAACCAGTTGTATCCAAGCAATTGGAGGTGTGTTTAGTGTACTTTGGTTTTTGTCAATTTACTAAATACCGCACCTAATCAAGGGCAATTTATAAATAGTTTAAATCAAATTATATCACTGCCATTTAATTATCAAAGCTATTTCATTGATTATATTTTGATAAACAATTAATCACCACTTTATCATTAAAAGATAATAAAATATTTGTACATTTAGTACACATTCAGAATCGTACCCAACATTTCTATTAACTTATATATAACTCACAGAATCTTCAATTATTTACAAATAATTAGAAATTATTTAACAAAAAGTTGATAATTAGTTGGCTTTAGTGTCAAAAGCCATGTTTATATCAATAACGATAGTATTAGTAAATGTATTGGCGTTAAGTGTGGCAAAGAATTTACCACAAGTTGGAGCTAACAATGGTATGGATATTAAAATCACCATATTTTTTATGTTAAACTTAATGCAAGTAAAATAGCCGAATACTAATTTGGTTTAATTTGCAGCCGAATTGGGCGCTCAGTATTGGACCGACTTTTCGCGAATAGCTTTACAGGAGGCCTATCAGAGCAAACCTGTGCTAAATCGGGCCAAAAATGTGATACTATTCCTGGGCGATGGTATGGGTGTATCCACTATCACTCCCTCCCGTATACTCAAGGGTCAGCTCAGGAACCACACCGGCGAAGAGGCCAGACTCGCGTTTGACGACTTCCCATACACTTCCCTTATAAAGGTTTGTATAATTTATTTTAATTTTGTTTCTACTATTTATACCTTAATTAAAACTAAAATATTTATTCTGTGTGCAGACATATAACGTTGACTATCAGGTGCCGGACAGCGCCGGTACGGCCACGGCATTCATGTGCGGCGTAAAGACCAACAAAGGTGTGTTAGGAGTGACAGGTCGGGTGGCTAGGGGTGAAACCGACTGCGAATTGGTTCACAAAAACAGTGTCTCCTCTATACTGAAGTGGGCCTTAGATTCCGGTAGAAATCAAATAATCAATTAATAATTGAAAACAATTTCAATGATATATGAATTGTAAATGTATATAATTTATAGGCAGAAGCGCTGGAATTGTGACCACAACTCGTGTAACACACGCCACACCGGCCGGCGGTTACGCCAGCGTTGCCAATAGGGAGTGGGAGGCGTGGATCCCATACCAGTCAAACACACAGTCTAATAAGTGCAAAGATATTGCCCGACAGCTGGTGGAAAATGAGCCAGGTGCCAATCTAAGCGTAATACTGGGCGGCGGCCGGCGTTACTTCCTGCCCGACCACCAAACCGACGGCCCGAACGGCGAAAAGGGTTTACGAATCGACGGCCAGAATATGATCGACAAGTGGTTGCAACAGAAACGCGAGTCCGGACTACCGGACCATCGGTACCGATACGTCGACAGCCGGCAAAAGTTGGCGGCCGTCGACTATTCGCGGACCGACTATCTGTTTGGTCTGTTTAACGGCGACCACATGTCCTACGATCGGGAAAGGGATGCGACGATCGAGCCGTCCATTGAGGAGATGACAGACGCGGCCATTCGTGTGCTGCGGAAAAATGCCAATGGATTCGTGCTGTTGGTAGAGGGCGGGCGTATAGATCACGCCCATCACGAGAACCACGGCGTTATGGCCCTCCACGAGACCGTCGCTTTTGATCGGGCGGTCGAACTGGCCGTACGATCGGTCAATTTGGACGAAACACTGGTTGTGGTGACCGCCGATCACTCGCACTCCCTTACTATGAATGGTTACCCCAAACGGGGTACTGATATACGGGGCATAAATGGCAATCACGATGACAATGGTGTGCCCTTTACAACACTTATGTACGGAAATGGACCAGGGTACCAACACGATCGAGTTGATCCGTCCACTGTTAACACTAGTAATATCTGTGTTATTGATTGCCAAATATCAGTAGATATTAATTGATGTTCATTATAGCCGATTTAAAGTACCGTAATGTGGCTGCCATTCCCCTCGTTAGCGCCCATCACGGGGGCGAAGATGTTGGTAAGTTGTGCATGCTCAATTAATCTACCAGATTTGTAAGTTTGCACCGAGACAATTTATTGTTAAATGGTTAATTGATAATTAGCTGAAAAATAAACAGAATTATTAATTAAGCAATAAAGTAACTATATTAATTTTACTCAAATAGCCCTGTATGCAATTGGTCCGATGGCGCACCTGTTCCGGGGCACCCAAGAGCAGTCATATGTGGCCCACAGCATGGCGTTTGCCGCCTGTATCGGTCAGTTCAAGAACTCCGATTATGATCACTGCAACAGATCCTCGTCCGCCACAAACATCTCGACAACATTTTTCTCGTCATATCTTATTATTTCGTTTATATTTATTTCTTTTCAACTAATTTAAAAAATTCTTAAGATTCTTATAATTTATTTAATATTTGAATATAATTTTTTAATTAATTGTATACATAAATTTGTTGATTTTAAACTCAAACATGTTACTTATCAATATGTTACTGGAAAGGAGGGCAAGGGTTTTTTTTGGTAAAGTAAGTATGGTAATTTATTGATATGTTATGCTGGAGAGGGTGTGTTCAAATTATAATTATTAATAATCTATCTCATTTTATGTGAACCTAATCTGTTTTGTTGATACAATTTAGAAAAACAGATAATCACCACAAAAATATTCAATGTTTATAACCATATAATATGACATTTTTATCATAATTAGAGTAAACGGGTCTGAAATTCCTGGCGCCTACTCTTCGGTGACCACCGCGTACTCGTTGGCCGGTAAGGCCTGCGCTGCGGCGGTCATCGCTGTTCACAAGTATATCGCTTATGGTAACCACCGATAGGCGTCGTGTGACCACAAAATTGCGGTAAATATTGGCCACAAAACGGGCGACACTGTTGGCCGACACGACCACCGAAACGCCAAACCATAGGCTCACAAGACTTCCCACGAGTGACACAAACTCTTCAAACGACAATTTGGGCGAATGTGTGATCAATAGTGTCCGCAGCGGCGGATCAAAGATAACAAAGTAGAACCGATGGCCGGGAAAGTGGTAAGCGTCGGGCCGGAGCTGGAAGTACTCCTTATAACAGGCCACTCGAGTGCTGCACCGATGGCGACACCGCTGGCCAAACCACTCGTCCAGCGCTGGCGTCCGGTGAAACAGTTGACACACTTCGGCGATAGTGTCACCGCTGGTCAGGTTGTCGGTGAGGTAGTGTCCGGGCCAACCGCCGGCGTACGCGCGCATGTATTGCGCCCGACAGCGTTCAATGCAATGATACTGCGATCGGTGGCCACCGCCGGCTCGATAGTCAACGCAATCTGTCTGATAGGGCGCCGGCAAAGACCGGATCACTTGTCTCGAGTACTCGGCGAAGAAGGCGGTGTCGTTGCGGTGCGCAATAGTGACGTGATGTTTGCGGTACGTGTGTATCATTGGCTCCGACCGCGAGTGTATGATCAGCTCAAATGGCGTGAATCGGGCGCCGATCTCCGTATTAAAGATGTCCACCAAATAGTCTTTGAAGTCCAAGTCGTCGTCGATTAGGTACCGCTCCGGCGGCTCGTCGTTCACCTGAGACAAAAATGTGAGGCAATACTTGTTGTAGTCAATGGCCGCGCGTATGGGTGCGATGGCCGCGCACGGGATGTGATAGCCTATAAAAATTAACATGTTAAGTTTGGTTGTTTACTTGATACAATTACTGGTATTAAATATTTAGTAATATTTAATTATGATTATTAGTTGTCTACACTTACCGGAGCTGTTCCGGTGCGCCAACGGTTTGAGGATTTTACAGTTAATGATAATATCGTTTAGTGTATAGAGTAATGGTATTTGCGATCTTATCGGTCGAGTATTGATCCACAATTTGAACTCCGGTTCAGACAACTCTTTGCCGCTATTATTAGCGGCCAATTGTCGCCTGTATTGGTCCCGAAGAAGTGTCTCTTTGCCAAAACACATGGTAATGGCGGGCATCGAAATGGTGGACATCCGTTCAAAGCATACAGAAGTGGTGGTGCCGTACGAGAGGTACAAGAAGGTGATTTGATAGACCTGATACGTGCAAATACATATCAATACCAATAAGATTAACGTTTTAATTGTTTGCTTCAAATTGTTTGTGGTCAAATTGAAACTTTTTGAGATAATGCTAAACATTTTGTGCAATGATATTATAATGAGATTAAATGCTTAATCATTTATATTTAGTCAATATATTTATTACATATAATATATCAGATTTTTGGATACAATGTATGAAAAATAATTATTATAATTGTTTTCGAGATAAAAAATACCAATAATTATTGACATGTTTTTTTGTCATAAAGTAAGTTATATTTGAATAGTTTTTGTTGATGATAAATAACATGATATTATTTCTATGAAAATTCATTATGATAAAAATACAAAAAGGTTTTTGCTAAATAAATATCTGTTGGAAATAAACAAATCACTCAAACTTTGCTTAAATCAAATATTATTTAGTGTTAATGAATAAGTTTTCTATGTATTTGAATGACAGAACAATTAACAAATAAATAATCACTGAATTTATCTATAAATTCATTTGCGTAGGCATTGAATGTGTGATTAATAATTGTCGCATAATAAATAAGTAAAGTTAGCAAGTTAGTTATACAATTCTATACAATTTAGAAATTATAATAATTATACTTTTTAAATTATAGTTATACTGTCTAGTTTAATCATAATCAATTACAGTATTTTTACAAAGTTACAAAAGTTATTAACAAAAAATGCATACAAATATATTATCATGGTTATTGATCACGAGCTCTAAACTACATTGCTTAAGCCAAACATTTAAAGTGGTATTTTTAATCATCTCGATGGCCATGTGCTCGTATCAGGTCTATAAGATTAGCGTTTTATACTTCTCGTACACCACAACCACATCCGTCAGCTATCAGAAGGTGTCCACCATTTCTATGCCCGGAATCAGCATTTGTTTCAATAAAGAGTCGCTTCTTCGCGAAGAATACCGCCGAATACTGAGTGAAGATAATAATGGCTCTCAATTGAACGCATCGGAACTGTTGGAACAAATCAATTTGTGGCCAATAAACAAACAACACTCAGCTTTATATTCAATGTCCGATATTTTCAACAACTCTTGTCGGGCGTCAAAGCCGATAGCGTTCGCCAACAGCACCGGTAAATTTGAACATGTACTTGCACATATTATTTATTGCATGTTTTATTATCACATACCGTATAGACCAACACATACCGTGTCATGTGATCGCACCGATACGCCAGAGTATCAATTACTTCAAGTGTTGCTTCACATTCCTGTCACAACTGGATGACGAGCCGACGGACCGGTACTTAATATACGACGACTTGGCCTTCAAAGACTATCTGACGGACCTCTTCCACATCGACGTGAGCGCGACATTCAATTCCATGGATCTAATCATCCATTCGCGCGACGAACGGATGGCCAACACATACAAGAAACGGATCATGAAGTTTGAGTACCGGCCAAACACTGTCTTCTACGCCGAGTATCTGGTGACCAGAGTGTCAAGTCTGCCGCCGCCGTACGCGACCCGCTGTTACGACTATAAGGCCAGCGGACACAAGTCGCGACAGAACTGTATCCAGCGGTGCCGCGTGGACCACATGTCGGCCGAGTTGGGCGGCGGTTGCCCGGCAACTATCTCACCGAGAATATGACCAGCGATCAGCGCATTGTCAATATGTATCCCCTGTTTTTGGCCAATAAAACGCTGGACGCCGTGATAGGGGCCGAGTGTCGGCGCCGGTGCGACCACGGGGTCGAGTGTTGCGCCACTCAGTACGAGTTCCACGAGGGCTACTATCGGGTGAGCGCCGACAGCGGCCTCCACTTCCCGTTGCAGGTGTTCCCACCGGAACAGCCGGCGCTTGTCATCGCACACTCACCCAAACTGTCGTTCGAAGAGTACGTGTCGCTCATCGGGAGTCTCATTAGCCTCTGGTTCGGTCTGTCGGTGGTTATGCTGACCAACTCAGTGACCGACGTGTGCGCCGACTATGTGTTCGGCAAACCGGTCGCAGACCATACGGTTCGCCGGGCATTAGATGATCACATCAATGGTAAGAATGGATCGGCGAACTCAATGATTGGCAGACATGTTGTGGCAACTAATGATGGGCTGATGAATGGCGATGTGATCGACAAGTGGTGTAAAGTCCGCCGATCAGTGGCCGTTAGGTATGAAACCAAATACTAATTAAATACATATACTGTACACTATTCTTATAAGTATATAATAATCATTTATTCACTTTAATTGTGATTACAAATTGTCGAATTACATGAATAATTGTATTAATTATACTAATTATATTAAATTACAAATAGTAATTATATATTTATGAATATTTTACAAATTTTAAGTTGTAAGTTTTATGAGATTTAATTGTAATTTCAAATGACTGTCAAACCCCGGCACCCTGTCTTACTAAACAACCCTGTGCTCGTCCGCTAACTAATACTGCAATATTTATGATGTATTTTATTTTAATTTCAAAATCACTATTTAATTAAAATTATATAAACAAGTTTCGAAAATATTGTCAAAATGAGATTAATTACTAATAAAAATTATATAACTTAAAGAAAATTTATAAAAAAAACACTAAAAAGTGTTTTATAAAATTAATGCATTACGGTATAATTTCATTCGCATTGTGTTATACAGTATTATATAACTTATACCCAAATATAATGTACAGACAAGTCTGTACACTGTATACACACATTCATTATAACAAGTGATTAAATAAAACTATTAAAAGCTATTGAATTGCATTCACAATAATGAGAGTAATACTGATTTACTAATACTGTATCGCAGACTAAATCATTGTTAAGACACCAGTAACTACTTTGAGACCAGCTCTTCGGATCAGTTGATCTATGGTTAGGGATAAGTGGAGGTGAGGTGATAGTTGAGTTGCTCCACACTCCTGAAGTGTCGATTGCATCCAAAGCGATGGCACACGTAGTCTTGGGCCGAGTGTGCGGTTCGCTTATGTTTACCCAAATAGTAGTAATTGGTAAACGTTTGGCCGCAATCGGGGTAATTGCACTTCAATGGCCGCCGATGGCCTCTATCGCCGGCGTTATTGCGTTTCGATTGCGGTCGACCACCACTACCGTCGCCACCGCTGGATCCGGTCGGCTGTTGACTATGATTAGGCAAATGCTGTGTCCACTCGTCTTCGGTGTCGTAAATGTGTTCACAAATATCGCACACAAACAGCAATTGGTTTGAGTGGATAAACCGCTGATGAAACTCGAGGCTAGATTTGGTGTCAAACCGTTTGTCGCAACCGTTCACTCGACACCAGAACGACTTGTCGGCCGAGTGGGCGGCGCTCTGGTGTTCGGCCAATCGGATCGCGTCGAAGAACCTCTGGCCGCACGTACGGCACGAGAAGCCATGGGTGGCGATCACGTGCTGCCGGAGATCGGTTCGCGAGCCGGTGTCGGCGCCGCAAACCTCGCATCGATGGACGCGTTCAGAAAGTGCCGTGTGATCGGTGTTGTGGTGGCGCTCGAGATCGAGTTCGCGCACGAACTTCAGCGGACAGTAGCCGACACCGCACCCGAAATCGTTGCTCGTGTCGTGCGTTTTGCAATGTTTGGCGAACACATACTCCCAGACCGTGCGATAGGAACAGGTGTCGCACTCGTACACAGGCTTCGGGCGGTGGACTCCCTTCACGTGCAGTTGAAGGTCAGTCGGCGTCTCGGCAGCGAACGGACACTTTGGACACGCGAACGGCTGGTCTGGACGGGCGGTCGCGATTGAACTACCGGCCGATGCGGTGCCTGTGTTTACTACGAGCGAAGTCTGTGGTGTGGTTTCTGAGCCATTGTCTTCCGCTCCGTTGTCCACAGACTTATTGCATTTGTGGCGCCAATACTGTCGTCTCAATGAGAACAAGCGCTGACAGTGAAGACATTTAAACACTGGTTTCGATGGCCGGCGTCCGTGAGTTTCTTCATAGTGTTTGGCTCTCTCGGCCTGAGTCTGGAAACGTTGATAACAGGTCCGACACGGGTATGGCTTTCGGCGCAATTCACTCAACGATATGACAAAACCTTTCGCCCGTTTTGCTGGCGAAGAAGTGGTTGCGGAGGAATGTTTGCCAACTGTCCTCTCATTAATGGTAGTATTTGTGAGATTTGTCTTTTCGGTCAACTGTTGCGCCGATTGGAGTGATCGGCGAAACGTGCGGTTCTGTGCCAACAGTTCGGTGGCCAATAACTGGCCGCCAGTTGTTGTCATACGCTTTTGAGTATTCTTCATATCACCGTTCATTTGTTCCGTGGCTTTGATTTCTTTAATTTCAATCACATAACAGCTGTTCTCATCGTTTGCCGGCTTTTCACCAAAAAGTAGTTTATTGTTATTTCCCATCCGTTTTACTGAATTGTCTGAAAATAGATTTAATTTGTATTGAAATTAAATGTTAATTCTCTCTCTCTCTCTCTCTCTCTCTCTCTCTCTCTCTCTCTCTCTCTCTCTCTCTCTCTC